GCAGATCGGGCCACGGGCTTTGTGGGCCAGCGGGGGGGACAGAGGGGCAGGAAGGCAGATCGGGCCACGGGCTTTGTGGGCCAGCGGGGGGGACAGAGGGGCAGGAAGGCAGATCGGGCCACGGGCTTTGTGGGCCAGCGGGGGGTTAGTACACCCTCTGAATGCTGCCCCCATCAGCGCAGGCCCAGTTTGTAAATAATAGTGAGTATTTCTGAGCCGTTACTGCAGTACTCTGTGTAATACTTTTCTTTGTATCGTTACTGTTTATTGTTGCCTATTATGTATTTTTACTGTCTGTTCATATCTAAATGTGTGTATTTAGCTACTGTAAACCTGCAGTTTCCTTCAGGATTAATAGTATCTATCTATCTGTCTGTCTATCTGTCTGTCACTGTCTGTCTATCTGTCTGTCTATCTATCTGTCTGTCTATCTGTCTGTCTATCTGTCTGTCTGTCTCTGTCTGTCTATCTATCTGTCTGTCTCTGTCTATCTGTCTGTCTGTATCTGTCTATCTGTCTTTCTGTCTATCTATCTGTCTATCGGTCTGTCTGTCTATCTATCTGTCTGTCTATCTGTCTGTCTGTCTCTGTCTATCTGTCTGTCTGTATCTGTCTATCTATCTCTCTGTCTATCTGTCTGTCTGTCTCTGTCTATCTGTCTGTCTATCTGTCCTTCTGTCTATCTATCTGTCTATCTGTCTGTCTATCTATCTGTGTATTTATCTATCTATCTATCTATCTATCCATCTATCTCTGTCTATCTATAAAAATGCAATCTCTGAAGTGTCTTTTTTTGCAGCTCAGATTCAAGCCAATGGAAAAAAAGTCACTGGAGTCTTTTTTGAATCAATTTTTGTTTTGCTGTGTCAAAGTTTCCTGCGAGACTGCAGATGGTGTCCAGGCCCCCGGCGTAACCTGAGCCGTTTGTTTTGCTGGGTGCCGCTGTGTACCTGCGTGGCTCCGCTGGTGCGCGCGGCCGGGCTTCTGGCAGAAAGAGAGGCAGAGGTCAGAGGTTAAGGAGTTATGGTGTGGGTGTTGCTGCACGCAGGGAGCGATGGCATCTCTCGGGGCTTGGCTCGGACGCTGGCCCGTGCTGCGCGCGTTAGCGGCTGCCGGTGGCGCTGGTAGGAAGCGAAGCTTTTTGGATCTTGCCCTGCAGCCACTCTCTCTGTCTGACACTCTGGACTCCGTTCCCAGCCTTCACTTCCTGTGAGGATTAGCGAGTGTCGCTATGTTAACCACCCAGAGAAACGATGACTGCTGAAATGTCCGCTCAGCAGAAGCTGTCTACCGATTCCTGTCCTAAACACCTGGATCTTGTTTTTCTTCCACTCCTCTTGTGGTTTTAGTGTGGCTAAGTAGCATATGGTTCATACTTATACAAAAGTACAGCACCTGAAATGTGACCTGAGGTACCAGCTCAGGTTGGCACTCTCTCAGTTGATTTCGCTGAGCGGGGGGTGGGGGGGGAGGTGCTGGGCCCCCTGAATCTGTCCTGGCATCCATGCCCCTCTGACACCCCTGATTGTTGCGATCAGAGGTGGAAAGTACAAGTCCAGACCAAGATTTTATTTCAACTAACCAGTTGAATATAAAGAGTCACATGGAGTAGTCAAATGGTTGGTTGAAATTCTTGGTCTGGATTTGTACTTTCTGGATCTTTCCACCTCTGGTTACTATTAATCAAATAAACGCAGAGAGTGTAATGCAGAGGTTGGACGGCTTCACTGTTTAAATTTGTAGGGTTTTGTTATGTTGCTTCATCGTATTACGTTTATCATGTTGTAACACAGAAATTCCAGCTTGTGTGATGCCCTGTAATCAAGCAAATGAAAGGTAATTAGGAAACTTCCTAATCCTCATCTCCTATTGTCATCACAAGGCAAGGTGCTATGTCAAACAAATATGCTTACTGCAAACATGGACTGACTGTTCGGGATGCCACAAGGCCGGATGATCAAGAATCTAAGTTGTTCATCTCCACTTCCTGGTTCCTGACTGGCTGTGACCAAACATTGTTTGTTGCCTTAAGATCCATAACTCATACAAGCCAGGAAGTGAAGTTTGAGAAGGTTGTGCGAAACATCTACTGCATCAGAGAATATCATCTGGAAATGAACTCCTTCCTCGCTAACAGAAAGCTTATTGTCTAGTGCTCACTGGGCTAAGCCTGTGTGCTTATAATCAGAAGGTCGCTGGTTCAAACCCAGGTCCTTGAGCAAGGCCCTTAACCCCCAGCTCCCTGGGCGCTACTACAGGTGGCTGCCCTTCACAGACAGCTTACTCTATAAAGAGCAAGCTGAAGGAGGTGTAAAAAGAATTTCCTCATAGGGACAGTAAAGTATCAATTATTATTAGTTTGTCACGTTAAGGGTGAAACAGCGGAATCTAACACATGCTCTTCAGCAAACTAAAATTCTATCCGCAAGCTCTTGGTTATGAATTCCCCAACATAGCTGCGTTTCTGTAATGCTAAGGAAGATGAAGCGCTCCTGAAGTCCTCGATCTTATCCTGCAGATGTCCACACTTGAGCAGGATGGGGAGGAGGTGGTGGGCCAAGCTCGCTGTCCCTTCGAGTCCCGGCAGTCCAATGTGGGGCTCTTTGCTGGTGAGTTTCCACCACTGACCACGTCATCAGCATTTCCCCATGACCCACCGGCATGGAGTATAGGGGCATCACAGCTGCCAAGTTTGGGAAATAGTTGCTGTTGAAACAGATTGCGAGCCTCAGGTCGCCGTATTACTCTTTACTCTTTTCGACCTTCAGGGGGTGACTTCTACTCAGCCACCATGACTGACTTCCTGGCAAGCGACGCCGTGATCTACCGCAGCCTCGGTGAGGGAAGTCCAGTCTTGCGCACTGTGAAGTATGACTCCAAGTGGCTACGAGGTGAACTTTCTCCTTGGTTTGTTAAGTTCATACCGTGAAATGACATAGACATCAATAAATCCCGTCCTATTATGAACGTGACAATCTGTTTCTTTGTGTTGGCTTGTTCCAGAGCCTCATTTTCTCCATGCCATTGAATATGGGAACTACGTGTATTTCTTCCTAAGTGAGATCGCAATAGAGTACACCACACTTGGCAAGGTAAGAGACCAGCGGACAAAGGATGTATTTATAAGCTGGCATGAGATTGGAGTCTTGAGACTTGCAGCTCTTTATATAGTAGGGATGAAGTCAGAATTCTTACTGTTCCTGTTAGTTGTCTAGGCCAGTTCCTTCAAACTCACTCACTGTTTCCTGTAACTTTCTACCAAGCCTTTGCTGCCTTCCCACTCCTCTTGTAAATCCTTCGCTGGTTGTTAGCCCCTCCCCTTTCTTGGGCCCTCCCACTGCCCATTGCTCCTCCTATTAGCCAATCAAAGCCTTGCTGTAAGCTCTGTTCTCTCTGCATCACCGTTTGGCTCCTCCCACCAGGTTGTATTTTCACGGGTGGCACGGGTCTGCAAGAATGACAATGGTGGCTCCCCACGGGTGCTGGAGCGCTATTGGACCTCGTTCCTGAAGGCCCGGCTGAACTGCTCGGTCCCGGGGGACTCCTTCTTCTACTTTGATGTGCTGCAGTCACTCACCAACGTGCTGCAGATCAATCAGCGGCCTGCCGTGGTGGGCGTCTTCACCACCCAGGCCAACAGGTCAGCCCCGCCTCCCCTCAGTCATGCCAGCAGTTGGGACTGAGCTCAGACCATCCCGTTGAGTTGTGTGTAACCTCACGCAATGTCCAGTCCTCTCACTACCTGCTTCCTGACCTCCACGCGCCCCTCAGCATCACGGGCTCGGCCGTGTGCGCCTTCTACATGGACGACATCGAGCGCGTCTTCAACGGGAGGTTCAAGGAGCAGAAGAGCAGCGAGTCGGCCTGGACCCCGGTGCCAGAAGATCAGGTTCCCAAGCCCAGGTGAGGCTGGGCGGCATCTTAGTATGCGGTTCAGACAGAGGGAACCACATTCATCTTCTGTAAGAGTCACAGTACAGCCCACGATACCGTAATCTGAACCTGCCTGACATTCCCGTGGGATGTTTTTAATGTAAAAATCCTTGCATTTATTAGAAGCCTTCTAAGAATACAAGCTTAGACTTGTTAAAGTGAGTGAACTACTTAAATGTAAGATTAATCACTCTATGCAAGATCTTGGCTGACACCAAGCTCTGTCTCCCAATGTTGACCTGACAGTATAAAGTATATTTATCTACTGATGTATTTTTTCACTCCGTCATATTTAGATTATTTCTGTTATAGGACCTGTGGCCTGGGCAGCAGCTTCTAGGATAAGTGGCCTTCGGTAAATTGGGTTCATGTATCCTAGAGAATAGCAGAGCTTCTGGATGATTTGCTATGACATGATTTGCTGGGATTCATAATGGTACGATGACTTTCGAATATGCAGTGAACATTCCAGGAGTCTGTACTGCAATAAAATAACCCTGTAAATTATTTATTCAAAAATTTCATTAAAACAAGCTTTGCAGCTTGGAATTATACATTTTACCACTTGGGGCAGATGCATTTTATTTTAATAACGGAAGAGCAAATTTCCCAAACTTAGTCTATTCTTTGTTGTACTTGAGGTGAGAGCGTCAATCATCGAAAATCAGGCTGAACCATCATATGTTAAAGTTTTGGGAACAAAAATTCACTTAGTCCTCATGAAATCCAACAAAGCATATTTGTAAAATTTCCACAACTCACATAGTCCACATAAGCTTTCTTGGAAACTTGGATCCTGTGGATTACTTGTCTCTGGGGCTGTACCCCCAAGGGTCTGCCAATCACTGTAGGTAAGTGTATCTTTTAGTCTAATTGAAGGTATGGAAATGGACTCAGGGTACATTAGTGTTGTCTGTACCAGGGCTGTGCACTTTTTTCTGACAGTATTGGACAACAGAATAACAGAATCTGCAAGCTTTCCCTTCTTACTGGTGAGTCCGGTGAAGTACAGGGGAATGAATTCTCACACCCTGAAACAAATCCTCCCCCGTCATCCTCTCAGGCCCGGATGCTGTGCGGGTGACGGCCCAGCGGCCGCCTACAAATCCTCCATCACCTTCCCCGACGAAATGCTGACCTTCATTAAGTCCTACCCACTCATGGATGAGGCGGTGCCCTCCGTCAATGACCGGCCCTGCTTCACCCTCACCGGCAGCAGGTACGCGGTTTTCCCCTCCTCCCTCCCCCACAGTGTAGGTACGACTCCATGGAGCTGACAGTGCCCCCCCCCCGTGGTGGAGACGGTGTGGGGCCTCGTACAGATGCTTAGATTTTGCCGCAGCCATCTAGCACAGCTGATTTGTCTCTCCACATGCGTCAGGGAGACTGAGTCAGCAAGACTAGATGATGAAGAGTTAGATGACACATGGTCTGCAGTTCCTGTCTAAAATCAGCCTTGTTTTTCCATGATGCATAATAATGAGGCCTAATTTCAGAGAAGTGTATTCTGTTTAATTGCTGGTGCAGCCCTTTCAATAGAATAATTTGACAACACAAATAGACCTTAAGCATTATTACATTATTACAGACGAGCATGTCCCTTTAACAGGGTATAAGCTGTTTTAATTGTTTTTGTGTCCATAGATACAAGTTAACCCAGGTTGCCGTGGACCCCTCCGCCGGGCCCTACAGGAACTACACCGTGCTGTTTCTGGGCTCGGAGGACGGCAGGGTGCTGAAGGTGCTGGCCAGTGTCCACCCCAACGCCACCTTCGGCTCGCAGCTCCTGGAAGACATCGACGTCTACAACCCCTCCAAGTGAGCCCTGCGCCGCCTGCGCGTTTATACCTGCTTAACCTCTATCAGCTGAAGGTTAATTAAATAGGTAATAATGTGTGAAATATGCAATGGCCCAGTAGTGCTGTGTGGCTCAGGGGGTTTGGATGCTGGGCCTGTGAGGGGAGGGTCATAGGTTTGAATCCCTGTGATTTCACTTTGAGGACGGCCTTCACTGCCAGTTGCTCAGTGCGCTGTCTGACTCTCTGCTCATGATTGTGCATTGCTTTAGGATAAATAAATAAAATGCAAATGTCCTCATAAATATAGGGAAATGGAGCTCGTTGGAGAATGAGTTTCAGAGATATTGCCTTGGTATCACTGCACTCACTCATCGACTTTGGCTTCTGGTCTGGTGCTCTGATAGATGTTTCTCCTGGGTTTTACCTCACAGTGACAGGTATCCATTGACACGCATGCATCTTTAAATAGGCCAAGCCAGGCACCCAGATCTGACAGCCTTTCCAGAGTTTGAACCTGTAACTTTCTTGCTGAGTGACAGGAGCTGCATCACTCTCATGCCCCCCCCCCCCCCCCGGTGGCTCGCTCTTTGTGCTCTTATTTCCTTGTGCAGGACTGGGCACTTTCAGCCACAACGTTTCGGTCCTCGAACAAAATGTGCCGCTGTTTATAATCATGGTGCATCAATTTCACTAATTTCCAGCCACCTGCAGGAGGAGTCAAGGATTTGGAGGCTCTAGGTGGAAACAGTACCAGGGTCCTGCTCGAATACGTCTGTTTACCTGAGTTTCTAATGAAACAGGAAGTCTTAGATTTAGAATAGTCCATTACAACTTGGACGGGGGGAGCAGGACTGCATACTGAAAAACATTGCTAAAAATGCTACTGTCAAACAAGTTGCTATCATATAAAGTATCATATTATCATATATTCATAAATGTAAATTCTGTCTCCGTGGGGCCCCTGGTTTTTGGAGAGCCTAGGCAGCTGCCTTACAGGAAGCCCACCCCCACACACAGTTGCTGGAAGCCACGCTGATGTTGACTCGTTGTGCTGCTTCTCCAGGTGTAACGTGCAAGGGGAGGACCGGAGAGTCCTGGGCCTGGAACTGGACAAGGAGCACCACGCCCTGTTCGTGGCCTTCTCCAGCTGCGTCATCCGCGTCCCCCTCAGCCGCTGCTCTGACTATGGCTCCTGCAAGATGTGAGTGGCATTCCTCGGTGACGAGCTCTCGAAACGATCCATCTGTCAGTCTGGGTGCACAGCAGCTCGTTACGGAAGCTGTCCCGATGCGAGGTGTCAGATTTGAGCTTCCGGGGGTCGGATGTGTCCGACTCGGGTATAAAGAGAAGCTGATGTCACTTCATCCTCCCGCTATCTATACACACACACACACACACACACACACACTCACACATATATACATACATATATTAGCCAGAATCATAGATTAAGTTGATGAGATAGAGGAAGAGGGTTGTTTCCAAATGATCAAATGCATTCACTCACACCTGGCACATGCACGGCGACGCCCACAACATTGGTTTTCATTCAGTAGCAACAGCTGATTGACAGCCTGTTCCTCCACTTACTGAATTCCTGTTGGCTGAGAACCACCACTCAGCAGTCAATCTGTGGTACCGGAGGTGGTGAAAGGCTCCAGGCCATGTCTCCAATTACAGTTGCCGGAATGCATGCATCAGGCATCCTGGGATTTCGTGGATATGACAGGTCGGTTCACAGCCAGATCACTGGCTGTAAAGCAGTGCCACTGGAAACTGATGTAAGTCTGTGACCATTTTAACCCAGAATGCACTGGAGTGATCTGGACAAATGGGAGTGGCATGATGGCTTAAAATGGTGGCTCCCCACCCTGTATGTGTGGGGTTTCTATATTCCTGTGTTGTGCAGGATTCCTTCAGGTCCTCCAGTTTCCTAAAACAGCCCAAAGGCATGTAGTTAGAATATTTGCCATCTGTAAATTGCCCATAGGGTATGACTATGTACGTTTATGTGCCCTACAATGAACTAGCATCCCAAGCGATGTTCCTGTGCCCTGTCCTGCTTGGGATTGGCTCAAGGACTGTTCAGGAATAGTAGCAGATAAAAGAATAAGCATATTTTAGTACATAATTTCCATATCTTTCCTTCAGATGAATGAAATCAGACTTGTATCCCTTCCTGGGTAAATCATCTGAGGTGTTAAAACCTTCAGCCCTAAATCCTGTGTTTAATAGGAGAGAAGATCAGACTTGGTACAGATGTCCTACCTTAAAAGTTTGCTGCACAGCTTGCTCGCATCCCCTGCGGCTCTGCGGCAGTCAGAGTTTGAGCATTTCAGACAGCCTGTCACCAGAGCAACGGCGGCGCGGTGTGAGACCTCATCCGAAAGCCCAAGAACTTGCAGGCTTCTCTTTTTTTTGCAAGGCTCAAATAGACCTCACAGGTTCGGCAGGACAGGAGAGAGAGTTTGTGTCCCTAAGTGAACCTGAAGCCGCCTCAATTCTCGTAGCAGCAAAAACCCCTAACATCAGTGCAAGGCAGTGCAGAGAAGCCCGATCACCATATCGGTGGATTTCTGCTGGATGAGGGTAGAGTAAGGAAACAAAGAAGAGGGTTAATCTCCATTCCACCGGAGTTTCCCACTGCGAGCCTGTTTCGGAGTGACATCCTAAGACCTTTGTGGAGCATCCATTTAAGGATGGGGCTGTAAATGCAGGTGTTGTTCTTCCTGTTGTAGTCAAGTTGACAGTCCAAGTTCCCATGGTCGTTCGAGCATCTTGACAAGGCAGCGTTGGACTCCAGGATCCCTGGGGCTGACAGTACATCTTCCTGCATTCCAAGCATGATCATTCCGGAATTTTGATTGGTTCTAAGAACGAATCCCTGAGGCGGCCCAAGCCGGAAGGTTTCATCCCCAAACGCTAAAGGGCCAAAGCCATACAAATACCAAGCTTGTAGATAATTACTTTCAGTTTAAAGAAACAAATATAGGATCCTGAGAATTAACAGACCTGCAATCAATTCCAATATCTGATTCATTGAAAGGCAAATATATTGACATTTTCCCATTAATGGGAACTGAAATTCTACCATCACATTCTCTACAAAAACTCATTTTTAAAAATAAAAACTGTTCATGTTTAAATTTAAAAGCTTGTAATTATTTTGAGCATTTCAGTGGAAATTCAGTCTGACCCAACATAAATGATTTTTCTTTAAGTAGCTTGACTCAACTTCGTTTGCTCCTGTATGAGCTGGTGGATCAGGCAGTGTGACTCACTGTTATCTAATTAAAAAAAAAAAACACTCCTGTCCTGTTCTGTAGCCTCCATATGAAAACATTTACATGCGGATGCTTGAATGTCAAATTTATCCGAAGTGACTTTTTCCACCTGTGTGTACTTCTGGGTATTTTTGCTGGAGGGATTCGGGATAAGAGCGGAGCCTCTTCTGGGACTTTCACATTACTTGTCCACTATGTCAGATGACTTCCCCCAGGCATGCTTATGGCTCTTCCAAAGCGCTGACATCACTTCTTCCTTGGTCTCCTAGGAGCTGCTTGGCTTCCCGTGACCCATACTGCATCTGGCTGAAGACAGGAAGCTGTGCCACCAGTGCACCAGGCTTTAGGTAAGAACAACGGCCACTGGACATGGGTATCACCGTTGCCGCGACTCGATGAGTGAGACCGGGCTTTAGTTAAGACCGACGGCCGCTGGACGTGGGTATCACCCTTGCTGCTGCTTGATGAGTGATACCAGGCTTTAGTTAA